GTTATCAATAATTTATAAAAAAAGCATATTCGATTTTTTTTTATTTTTTTGATAAAAATAAGTCATATATTCTTTTTAAAATTAAAAAAAGCTCCATTTTTTTAAATTTTCTTCCTAAAACAAATTAGTTAATACAATCTGTCACAATTTATGAAGCGGATGAAAAGTTATAAGTAAAAGTTATAAAATAATAATTTTTATTGCTCTGAAGTTAAATATATTGCAGTTTTTTTAATGCGGTTTTCAATCAGGGCAACATGGCGAACGTTTTGAAAGCCCTGAGTTATTTTAAAACTATCAGTTGTGAAGCAATAATACATTCTTGATATGTTAATGTTATTAATATGATTCATTACCTACTTGAACTTTCAGTTTGCAAATATAACAATCTAAAATAAATATTAAAATAAAAACTTCATGAATTTGTCATCTGGTCACTTGACCAAGGCAAGTTGACTTATTATGCAATTTTTGCCTCCAATTTTATAACATTTCAAAAACTACCATTAACTCTAACTAAAGTAACACAAAATAAACACACGTCACATAAAACTACTTCTAAACTAGGTCAATTTGAAGGACACCATCCATTATGTGAAACCAAAAGTTAGGAATTTTTTTAAGCGCAAATAGTAAAACAATGTGTATAAATTTGCATTAATAGTATTTAAAAAAACCAATTAGTGTTTTAAAATACAAAATGCAAATTCAGTTCAGTTTTCACCCAAATTTTTGATTTTTTGTTGAATTGTTATATGAAAACTCATCTTGCCCTATTCGCTATGTTGCCTCGCTTTCTCCTACGTACTCGATAATAATAAAATATAAAAAAAATTGAAAACTCAAAATCTAAAGACTTATTAGAAATTCATCATCATTCATATCATTACTTTTTATTAATTGATTATACTCTGTTCCATGCAAAACAACAATAATTAAACATTCCTCTTAAATTGCGCGAACTTCATTTAGAAGATATAATAATTAAAAACTAACTAAGTATAAAATTTTAAGGAATTTGTGCAGTCGATAATTTATCCTGGCTTCCCTATATAAATTATCTGCAGTCAATAACTGTCAAAAAGTACCAAAACTATTGGCGTAATGTATTGAGTTCGACCATATGTCGATATTTTAAGTCTCAAAATATAATATTTTTGGTTGGTTCACTGTTTTGACTATGCAAACATAAAATGGGGTAGTGCGCAATCAAAAAAATTTGTTATGTTTGACTATGCAAACATAAAATGGGGTAGTGCGCAATCAAAAAAATGTCTAAAAAAATATAGGCTACAAAAACACGCTTGACCTATCATATCCTTTAAACAAAAACGAGAACATGCAAAACCACTTGTGAAAAATACTAAAATGATGGGTTTATTTGAAATAAATATCTATTTTTGTATAGATAATACTTTTGCCAGCAAACTTCAACAACAAGTTTGAATTAAATATAAAGTGTAATCTAAGATCAAATAGCAAAAACAACGTTGCCCCCGAAATGAGCTAAACTATCAGAATTTTGTATATCTTATCGAGAACATAAAATATGGAATGACTTTCAATAGGAGAATAAATTTATGTTGAAGTCCTAAAATTTATTCAAGTTTCAAACGAAAAAAAAGAAACTTTTAAAATTTGACTATAAAAAAAAAAATTCTTTTATCGTGTTCTATTGTTTTTTTATAGTAAAATTTAATTTGGAAGTTTCGTGCAATTTGAAAACTAAATAATTTAATGCTTTATATTATATTGAAACTAAAAAGTATTAAAAAGTGTTTTTTTTTTCTAAGGCATACATTCCATAAATGATGTATGAGATTTCTAACAATTTTTCACCCCTCCCTTTGTCAAACTCTGTTTTTTTTCTGGCCAATTTCTCCTCCCTTCCTTATATATGACGTCAGTTTCCGCATCTCTTTGAAGCACATTTTATAATCCGCTAAGTTGCGAATTACAATTCTTAAATTTATATACTAATAGTTAATATTAGTAAACAAATTAATTTACAGTCAAATAGTAATACAATAATAAAAAATTGGTAAATTTTCAAATTATTTTATGTTTCTAATAAACTTACATCAAATTACCCACAAAACAAATATGTCTTTTCTATACCACATTGAATATTTAAATACCTTTAAAATCCGCGCGTATAAAACCAACTTTTTTTTTTAATTGACATGATTTTGGTCTCAATTTTGGTGCTTCTTTTCCCGTCGTCAACTCTTGTCAAACGTTTCAGTACCCTAATCCCCCCCCCCCCCTTATATTTACTGAGATATTTATGGATATCCCCTCTGATGCTAGCATCTTACGTTAGAGTTTAACAGATCATTTTTAAACTTATTATTGGTTTCCATTTTTTTGTGTATTTTTTTTTCTTACTTTTTACAGTAAGAACTGAGATTATAAAATATTTTTATCCTATTTTAGGCTAAATGTTTAAACATGTATATTTTTATCAGTATATTTTTTATTTGAGTTAATATTGCGATAGTTTGAATAATATACTACGGTTTTCATAACGCTATACTCCTGCTTGAAAGATTAGACTTTCTTATTGAAAGTATATTAACTATGAGTTGTTGAGATATTAACAAACTGCATGAACTCTGTGAAAGATTTTCATAGTTTCTGTTTAGTGCGTGATTCTGTATAAAATTTATTTTTTAATAAAATTTATTTTTTAATAACATTATATATTAATACAGATAAAAAATTTTATAGGTGAGAATTATACAAGAGTTTTAATCAGAACTGCTAGTTTCAATTATTGGCCTTAAGGCCAATAACTAAGGCCTTGAAATTTTGTTGGCTTTTTCTTATTAATTTCAGTGCTTTCTTTCATGTTTGCATTTCAACCCTTTCGCGACTGAACTAAAAACAGCTACATGGCTGCGCGTAAAATAAAGAACTAGAATCATGATCAATTGAAAGAGTATAAAATAAAAATTACAAGTCAGAATTTGAAAAACAAGACCTTGTTTTTTTTTATATAAGAATTGACTTTTAGAATATTCAACAATTAAAAAAAGTTTTTATAATGCTGATTAAACAAAAAAAAATATCCACCACTATCATTGAAACAAATATAAATGATTTCATTTATATCTATATAATATTATCTGATATTCGTCATTTTTTAGAATTGATTTTTGAGCGATCTTTAAATGGAATTAAGAAACGGTTTGAAGCATTAACTAAAGAAATTATTCACAATTCAAAGGTAGTTTTAAAGTTTTTCCTAATTGCTAGAGATGTTTAAAAATATTTAAAATTGTTTTTGCACCGTCATGCGGGTCACTCGTCGTTTAGAAATTTTATAAACCGCCTTACGGGTCACGCGTCACGAATGGGTTAAAAATGGTACTAGGGGCCATCCATAAAGGACGTCACCAATTTTAGCCAATTTTTGACCACCATCCCCCCCTTTGTCACAGGTTAACCTTTTTCACTATACCCCCCATGAAAAAGACGTCATAAAATCCTGAACCCCCTCCCTATTTTTAACTCCAAAAAAATTTATTTCATCTCGCAATGATGTTTGAATCTACTGCTACACCTTTGAAAAATAAAATATATTTTTTATAAGTTTCAAAATTTAAAAAAGATTTTAAAACGTGAATTTTTCTTACATTAAAAACAGAATTTTAAAGATTTTTGAATTAAAATAGTTTTTTATATTTAAATTATAAAAAAGTATTCACTTATTTATATTGTTGTTATTCAACATAACTAAATTTGTTCAAAAAAGTTGTGGTTTTACTGTCACAGTACTTGCTAGCTGCAGTTTTGTTAACAAATGGCCTTAACGTAACATAAGAACATCTTTGGCATTGAAAATGTTCGCGTAACTTTTGAAAGTTACGCGAACATTTTCAATGCCAAAGATGTTTATTGAAACTGAATTTTTCTAAAAAAGATTAAATGTTTAGTTGGTTTTTATTTAATTCTTTCCAGCTTAAAAAGTAGTTTAAATTCTTCCATTGTTTTTTTACTATATTTTCTAAATATTATAGTTTTCGGTAATTAAAATCACGTTTTAAAACTGCTACTTATGGAGAGAACAAAACTTTTTACAAAAAAAATGAAAACCATTTAAAAAAAAATTATTTTTACTTAAAATATTTGTTTCAATTTATTAACATTTTATATAAAACAATTTGATCGATTAAGTAAAATTTAAACTCAATTAAAAATTAAGTAAAAACGTCAGATGAAATAAGAAATTTCGAACTAAAAATCTTCGAAGAAAAATTCTACTAAACCATCGAATTTTTTTATTTTGTTGACAACGAATTTTTTTATTTTGTTGATCTCTTCAAGAAACAATGGCGAAAACCTTGAAAAGTTATTTTTTTATAAACATAAATTTGTATAAAAGGTTTATAAAAAGTGCAAATCTAATAAAAAAAGTTGTTTTATTCAAAATTCAATCAACTTAAAAACTTATGACTTTATCTTAAATACGATATTATTTAAAAAAGAAATTGATAATAAAATAAAAAAAATTAACATTTTATTTTAATTTGCATATTTAGATTTTTTAATTTAATTCTTAAACATCACAAAACATAAAATAATTAATATAAATAAAATATCAAACAAACATTTATTATTTATTAAAACAAATATTTATTAACAATATTATTTAAAAAATTATATATTAAGAACATAATAATTAAAAACTGAAAATATAATATTTAAAAAAAACAACAATAAATCATGTACCGTAATTTATAATTTTACAATATTATTATTAATAATAATATATAAAAAAAATTATATACTATAAGAATATATTTAATAATTTATATCATAATTATAACTATTAATATATTTGAAAACGAATTATTTATAAAATATTTTAATAATAAAAAATTAAACTTTTAAATATTAAATCTAATAAATTAGTGAAATTAATTTGTATATTTAAAAACGTATTTATTATAAAATAATACATTAAATATTTCATTAGTTATTTATAGTTATGGTTTTTATTTAATATAATTAAGGTATTAAATATTTTATCGTGTTGTAAAGTTTTTTAATTCATCGAGGTTACGAAAATATTTTCCAAAATACCCGATCGAAAACTTTTTGACATTCGAACAACGAATCCATTCATAAAATTCTTTAATAAAATCAATGTCGTCGTGAAGATCAAGAGTTAATTCTTCACAAAGATTAATCCACGGAAGAAAATTTTCTTCAAAATCTTTTTTTGTTATTAAATAATCTGAGATCCGTATCTCTAACTTTTTAATCTTATCTTTCGGTTTCCATCCATCGAAACTAATTGGATGATTAAAGTAGACATAGCGAACATTAGTTGAACATTGTATTAAAAGTTTTTTTTCTTCATCACTTAAAATATTTTTATTAACATATAACAACGATAACTTTCTTCCAGATTTTACGTAATGATTTATGAAATAATTTTCGCAAGAGGTTAAGTAAGAAGTTTTTCCATCGTAAATCAAAATACTCCACTTTCGTTTATCAACAATTGATTTAATTTCATCATTAAATGATGATTGACTTTCATAAAAACATTCAATGAATAAATCATAGCATAAATCATGGTAATCTTCTCTGTCACTTTTACTTAGACGATCTAAAGTAAAATTAAATATTAATTAAAGAAATGAACAAATAATAAAAATAATAATCAAAATTATAACATTATATACATTATAATATTCTAAATACTCATACATATAATTTTTATTAACTAATGATTGAATAAAAAACATACAATTTTTTATTTTTATTAAATAGACTATATTTTATACAATAATATTATATACATAAATTTATATTAAATTAAAATGATATAAAAAAATAATAAAAGTGTGAAACCTTTAGATAAAATAATTCATATGAAAAATAAATATATATAAAAATGTAATATAAAATATAATAATAAAGACAATTTTTTAATTTTGTTAATTTATTATATTATTAAAACAAAATAAATTAAATAAAAGTTATAAATTAAACGTATTTAAAATAACATAACAAAAATTAGAACGGTTGTTCACACACATAAAAGATTCATAATCATGAGACGTTTACACATCAAAATCAACATAATTTCATCATAAAAGCTACAAAATGTAATATATATAATATATAAAAACAAGCAACAAACATAAGATAAACCGATTGAATTTAAAAATTACAATAACATCACATCAAACGACATTTTGTTTTAAAAAGTAAAAATTAAATCCATTAAACAATCATTTCAACGCAAACAAGAAAATAATTCCTCATTCACAATTGTTTCATGTAAATCATATTTCTCTGAAACTTTGAGCAAAAGAAACAGGTTTTTTCTAAAATATCAAACTTAGACGAACGATTAAAAATAAACGGGTAAAAATGCAATTAAATAATAGCTCAGTATGTTTTAAAATTAGTATGGCATAGGTACTTACATACCATTATCATACTGTACTAGTTTTTTTGCATACTAAAGCATGCCAAACATTTTTTAAAGTAAAAAATTTGTAAATCAATAAATTCTACGCGATGAAAATATATTTTTTGTAGCGTAGAGTTTTTGTGACGAAGGTCTTACCTTACACTTCATAAAAGATTTTTTTTCAAGGTTTATAAATAATCATTTTTTTTTTTTGCACCACTAACATTTTGAAGGCAAGTTGATTTATTTTTTAACATATTTTCTAAATCTTAATTTATAATATTCTAAATCTATTTTCGATTTACCTTTCCATAAAAAAAAAACTCACTCTTTCAAACTCAATTATCGCATTTCCAAGAGATTAAATATAAAAAAAGTTTGAACATTATAAAAACACGTATCTATTTGCTATATTATATTTAAAAAAATAAGCTTAAAGATAGAAATCAAAATATTATAAAAAATGTTACATTAAATTTAAAGGTTTACACATTTTAGCACCTTAATCTTGTATATTTATAATATAATTTAACTAATATATTAACAATAAAAAAATACTTATTATCATCAAATTTACACGAAAAACAGTCGTCGTAAGTTAAGGTTATGTAACAATATAAATTTTGTTTTAAAACATAAACTTTTTTAATAAAAACAAATAAACGAATATAAAACTGAAGAATACTTACTTACGAATTTTTAAAAGTATTTGTGACCAGTGTGAAGTTTAACAATGGTAACAGAATAATTTCGGACTTTTTCCAAAATAAACAAAACGTTTGGTTTTATATACATAAAACTCGATGATCGAACTTTATAAAAATCTTTTCACAAATTCGAACAAAAAATTTAAATCAACCGCTTAGTTTTATAGAATTATATCGTAACTATCGCAACGTTTATAATGAAAGTATTTGTGAGTTCACAAAAAAAAAACGTTTAGATCACGTTTTAAGCTTGATAACACGTCGAATAATAAATTATACATTATTTTATAAAGAAAATAAACTATTAATTCTATTAAGTATAATGATGTGAAATAAATAAAACGAAAAATAAAAGTAATAAAAAAAAAATTAGTTACTGTTATTTTTTCTGACGTTATAAACGTAATTTAAACTTAGCGTAATCTAAATATAACGTAATAATAAACCAGATGAAAAAACCACAAAAAAAAAAAAAAAAAATAGTGAAACGCATGTTTTTTAAACAGAATTTGTAATGTGTTAATTAATATTAGTATACATATTATTATATATTAGTTTGTAAATTAATATCAGTATACATATAAATAAACAATAAACCGAATAAAAATTAAATAATAATAACTAATTTTATAAAAAATTTCTCATTATATAAACGTAACACGACATTTGTCTTGTTATGTTTATATATATAAACTTTATATTATATAATTATATTATATAAACTTTATATTATGTAAACTTATATTTATATCAGTTATAAACCATATCTTTCACAAAATAACTTTCTTTTGCCTAATTTTATTTTTGCTTAGAGACGTTTTTTTTTTGTTAAACACGTGACAAACAAGAGATTGAGAAAAAAAAAAATTTTTGTTTAAAAAGTATAAAAAATTCACTAATTTTAAAATAATAGTATTTTCTATAAAAGCTTTGATCTTAAAAAAATAATTAAAATTAATTATTTTTTTGAAGATCAAAGCTTTTATAGAAAATTAAAACAATAAAAAAATGGATGTATTTATCCTTGTTCGACGGAGCATATACCACAAGAGCAGATCTTCTTGTTTCATTCTACCTACTTTTTATTTTGACAACAATCATTCAAAAAACAAACCATCTAGTTAGGTTATCAGTAAAGCTAAATCTTTACTGAAGGTCTTACAATTCTGTTCAAAAGTATGATTTTGTCTTGCATCCTCTATAAACTCAAGTTGGATGAGAATTTATATTCAAATTAATTCATGGTCCATAAACTGCTTCACTAATTGAATTAATAAACTAACCTTATCCAATAAAATAACCTTTTGTCTTAATTGCTAAAAAAAATGAAATTAATAAATTTCAACTATTATACAAATTCATTGAGAATAATTTATCTGAACTATGATGCACTTGTGCTATCTTTTGCAAATGATGGTTTGTGATCAGATTCAAAACTTTTATTTAAGACACACAAATTGAGATTTGGTCAAGGCAAACACAAGTTAATTTAAAAACAAAATTTCTTTACAAAGGTATTTATCTCTGCTTGAGGAAAACTACAAATAATAATAGTACTAATAAAAATAATAACTGCTTTTCTTTGAAAAGAATGATAATTTATAAATAATTTCATCAAGTTGTTTTTTGGTGCATAAAAAAAAGCCATATAACTTGTAGATGAACAAAAAAGCGTTTTAAAAAAACCTAAAGTAAAAGTAAGCTAACTTAAAAACATCTAAAAAAATCTGTGTCTTGTGATTTTAAAATCAGAATAACTAGAAAATAACTTGGAAATTGAGTAATATTTTACACAATAAAAATTATTTATACAATTATTATTACGACAATATCAGAATAAATATATAGTGAAATTAAATCTATTCTCTATTTAGTTACAATATATTTTAGTAACATTATATTTGTTAGATTTGTTTTCTTTTTAGTTTTATAACTATTACAATTTAAAACACTTTCTCGTAACTTAGTAAACTGAAATGGTGAACTCTTAAACTGTGATTAATCTTATCAGTTTTAAATTAAATCTCAAATCAAATTTAGACAAAAGCAGATTTGCTTTTTATTTGAAATTTTAATTTACTTAGGTTTTTGTTTTATTGATTGTTGATATTAATTCCATATACATTATTGTACCAAAGACAATGTAGATTTAAACTGTGATTTAGCTTAAACCTCACCTATTTATGTGAATAGAAATCTAAAATACTATATTTACTATAACAAAATTGAGATGGTGTTAACCTAAATACTACTAGTCTACTTTGAACTATGCTATTAGATACTGGGATAAAATCTTTTATTTTGCATAATTAAGTTCACCTAGCCACTGTTTTAATTCTTATTTATACAGGATTGATTGTAAACTACTTTGACTGTAAACTAGATAACTTAAGAACACCAAAACTAGTTTGTTTTAGCAGCAAAGAAGTACAAAATAATTAATTTTCTGACCGCCTGATGAAAACGAATGAGAACAAATATTTGCTTTAGTTAGTTTTTGGATTAAAGATGAACTATTGAAGTTAAGTGTATCCAATCAATTACAAAGGCAAATTTATACCGTTTTCAAAAGAGTAATTATAGATCTGTCACAAAAGGAATTAAAATTGCTTGCTTACTTTGTGACATCATTTTTCTGATCTGGATATTTTTGACCAAGACCTGGCTTATTTCATTTACTATATAATGAAAGCAGATGCTGAATAAAAGAATATCAAAATTCAGCTTATAAAAAAGTGAAGCAAAACCGCCTACAAAAAGCAAAGAAGATGGACTGACACACCTAGATTTATTCCAGATCGATTAATTAATTAAAGAAATAATTCCAAACAATATTCCAAATGGTTTCAAAGATATGATTATTCAAACTTTTTCCTGAATAGTTTAGTTAAAGTTGTTACAAAGAACTGGAGAGGTTTTTTCATAACAAAAAAAAAAAACGTGGTCAAATTAACTTAAATTTGTAAGTTATAAAACATTTATGAAACATGAACAATTATAAAAATGAAAGGCAAAATAAGGTAGTACTTGTAAGTGCTTAATACACAGAAGTTGCTGTTAAATAATTTTTGAAAAATTTTCCTACTCAACCTAAATTTATTAGGACCTCCTCCCCCTATTTATTCATTGTTCCGGCAAAAATAGAATATATTAAAATAAAAACCAACGTTTTTTTATTGACCAACATTTGCCACTGGCCAATAGAGAAAAAAATATATATTATTTACTAAACTAATTTTGTCAAAACTTATTTAGTATAGTAAAAAAAAAAGTAAAAATAAAAATTCCAAAAAATATTTATAAACATTGAATAAAAAAGTCAAATTATGATTCTAAACTTCCTCAATAAAATTTATCTATTAATGATGTACATTTGCTCATACATACAATGCTCATACATACAATACAGTACATACATACATACAATGTATGTACAATACATACATACAGTATACATACATACATATATAGTATGTATACAGTATACATACATACATACAATACAATACATACATACAATGCTTATACATACAATACAGCTTATACATACATTTGCTCATACATACAATGCTCTTTACTTCTGTTTTAGGAAAGACCATAATTATATTGATTCTGATAACTCCAACCAAATGATTCAAAAAAAAAAAAAAATTTGAGCATCTTTAACATTTGCACTTTTATAATTCAAGTAATCCTAGGTAATATTTCAACAAATTTTTAAGATCGGATCAAACTTTTAAAGAAACAGTAAAACCAAGTCAGCATCTAAACTAAAGAAACAATTTGATATGGTCAAATGTGTTCTCGTTTTGTTAATGTCAAGTTACTCTCAGGTCCTTAATACAATGAGGGGTGGACGTGAGTTTTTATTAAGATGTAATAAATAAGAAGAGATAGGAAGGGAAGGAGGGGACAGGAGAAGATAGTCTTAACAGACAGATGATTGGGAATTTTTTCTTTTCTTATTAGTGAGTTTATAGTTTTTATTTTTCAAGACCTTAAAAATAAACCGGTCTTAAAAATTGGCAAAAAAAAGTTGAAATTTTTTGAGATTTGAGATAAAGATTCTAATATAAGTAAAATTTAATAAATGAGGGGAGCTTAATTAGCTTAGGGTTGATGGAAAAATTTTTCGAAAATTTTTAAACACCAACTTCTGTGTATTAAGCTCTAAGGAGTACCACCTTTTTTTTCACAATTCCTGAATTTCTGAATTCCTGCACAATTCCTGAATTCCTGCACAATTCCTGAATTATAAGTAACAAATTTTTGTAAATTTGAAAAGAAAAAAAACTCTTTGTAAAAACTATAACTAAACTATTCAGAGCAACATAATAAAAAGTTTAAATAGTCATATAAATAATAGTTTAAATATATTATTTATCTATTGTATTATTTAATCTTGATTCTTTTAAATTATCAAAATAGGAAACTTGACAAAGTGTTAAAGGCTACAGTAAATAAAAGAAGAGATTTATCTTCTTTATGTGATGTTATGTCTGCAAAGTTGGGAGACTTTATTACATTATTCTGCACAGCACAAAACCAAGACTTAAGACCATAAGACAAAGGTTTAAGACCTAAGACCAAGACATCACAAAGTAAAACCAAGGCCAAAAACAAGACTTTAGACAAGACATGGATCAAGACTTATAGATGCTCAACACAATAAGAAGTCATGCTAACATCTGCATATATTTTATTACACTTTTAGCTGATGTTCTATTTTACCATTTATACATCTCGGAAAAGTACCCATTTTACTTTTACTTATGAAAATATCAAAATAGAGTAAACCCTACTCTGATACTTTTGTTTATACTATAAAATTGGCTTTTTTAATTAAAAAAAAAAACCAATGTTATAGTATAAACAAAAGTATCAGAGTATGAGGGAATGTGCTTTACTTCTTTTTTGTATTTTTACAAAGTATATGAAATATTCTAAACACGCACACAAAGAAAATATCTTTTTTTCTATTGCATTAACTAATCTTGATTCTTTTGAATCATCATAAATAATTTCACCTGGCCACTGTTACATTCCTAATCTATGCAAGTTTGATTATGAACCGTAGAACACAAACATTTGTTTGACTTAACAAATTTTGACTTAACTTTGTCAGCCATCGCTTTCTTCATCTTCTCAACATGTGAAACAAATAAGTCAATCAGTTTTTCGCATATTAACCATTTTAAATTAACATTTTTCTTGAAATTAGGAAGTATTATTTCATGATTACAACTGTGTTTCAACTTACATTTTATGATACTATGATTGAACAACCCTCTCTTAACTATATAACTTCAAAACACAAACCTTGACAAAGTTCAGCGCTGTACTACCAAGGTTGTGGTGGGGATCAAAAACGGAACCTCATGCTTATGAGGCAAGTGCTCCACCAGTACACTACAACCACATTGATAAATAATAATTTTGTCTATTAGATATATGTTAACAATATAATATTATGTAATGTTATGTTATGTGTGACATGGGGAATTAATGTTTACGATTATTAAAGACTTTTTCTATAGAAATTTTTTTCTTTATAATCAACAAAAACAAAAATTTGCTAGAAAGTTTATAGAAAATACACGTTGCTCTGTCTACTAATAACAAAACTTTTTAATTTATCTCTTCTGGGGTAAAATGGGTAATCAATGCCAATTTGTTTTAGGACCCAAATTATATTACTATGATGCATAAAAACATATGAAAAAAATCCAGAAATGACATACTATAAAAAGAAGTAAATAAAAAAGAAAAAGGAAAGGTTTTGTAAAAAATATGAAAGCACTGAGAAAATCAATGCTAAAGAAGATGAAATATCAGAGTTTGATAGAAAAAGAACTGAAATATTACTAAAAGATAAAGATTTTGTTGTTATAATTGAGCAGTGTACAAGAACTAGCCTTGTGGCTGATCTGCAAAAAAGAAAAAAAACTTTGGTGAAAACATACTTAAACGGGAAGGAAGGAAGGAGAAAGAATTTAAGAAAAATATTCTTTTTTATTCCATTTAAGCAAAAAATGAAATCATTACTACAAAAATTTAATTTTAAGGCTTAGGTAAATAAAAGAAGAGATTTGTCTACTTTTATTTACCTTCTACAAAAGCTGCTGAAAATCAAATGAAAAAAAAATTAAAATAAAAAAGATAATCTTTGAAAACATTTTTTGTAAAAAAACAAACAAGCAATAGCAGAATAATAAGTGAACAAATAAAAAATCTTTTTTGTTGTTTAAAAACATTTTAAATACTGAATGCTGATAAAATTGTTGTTTACAATCTGATATCCTAGTTTCAAGGTAAAATGTTTAGCAAAAACACCTTCAACTTTATTGTTATTTTTAGTCCCGTAAAGAGCAACACAAAAAATTGTTATAATTTCCTTGAAGAGTGCGTAATTTTATAATTGCATAGTTCCGAGAGTATATAACAATATTTTGCAAAACTATGGCTTTTTAAATCTAAATGATAAAGTATGCCTTCTAAGTACCAGAGATGTGGTCAAGACAGTTAAAGCTAAGACTAAAACTAAGACCAATTAACTACTGCTCAAGACCAAGATATAAGAATTTAAGACAAAAATCAAGACCAAGACATCACAAAATCAATCCAAGACCAAAAACAAGACTTTTCACAAGACAAAGATCAAGAAATATACTCTTAGATGTTCAACATAATACACAGAACTCATGCTCACACCTGCATGTATACTATTACGCCCTTTCTAATGCATTATTTTATCATTTATGCATCTCAAAAAAATACGCATTAACTTATAAAATAATCAAAATAGAGTAAACCTTCTGAAATTTTTGTTTATACTATAAGTTTGGCTTTTTTAATAAAAAACAAACAAACTATGTGTTTTAATTTGTTTTTGTTAACTTCATGTCCAATAGTTCATCTTTAATAATCTAGTATTGCACATAAAATTATTTAAAATGACATTTAAGATTAAAAAATACTAGGTAAGTTATATACAACAAGTAAAATAATAAAAAAACCAAATAAATAAAACCATTATAAATTAAAAACCATTTTTTTAGTGATGCTAAATTAATATTTTGCAGGAACAAAATAAGAAACAAAAAAATCAATTTAATAGTTTTAACTAAAAAAAATTTTTGTTTAGGAATTTATTTTAATTTTTGTGTTGATTTTATTTTTTGTGACAATAAATATTGTAAAATTTCAACACATTGTTGAAAGTCATAAAAATTGTTTAAAGATTTAAATTCAGCATACAAAATACATTTTTATACAAACAAAAACAATAATACACAATATACAAATAAAATATAATATAATATAATATAATATAATATATATATATATATATATATATATATATATATATATATATATATATATATATATATATATATATATATATATATATATATAATTATTACTTTGAAGTAGCAAATATAAGAAATGAACAAAAGAATTAAAAAGTTTCACAATAAAAAAAATTTTTTTAATTGAATTTTTTTTCAATTTTATGTTGTTTTTGACTATAACAATTCTTTAAAGATTTAAATTGAGCATACAAAATACAAAATTACACAAATAAAAACTAGATATAAAATAAAAAGTTTTAAAACTGATAATGACTTTATTTTAGAATTACTACCTTTTAAAACTGATAATGACTTTATTTTAGAAAAATCATTAATTTTAAATTAATTATTTTAAATGTTATTACAAATGTTAACGCTTGTTATTACCAATGTAATTTAAAATAATTTTTGCAAAAATAAAAATGGTAATACAAATTTAAATTGTTAATACAAATGTAATTTTTAATTTTTGCTCACTAAAAATTTATCAGTGTAGGTATACTGCAACATTTTTTTTCTATAGGAAAAAAAATTTAAATTTCTTGTTGAATGGAATTTAAAAGGTATTTCATGCAAAGAAAAGAATTTAAATTAGTTTTTAAAAGCCTCATAAAAGTGAACTCAAGACATCAATTTTTCTTATGAACAATTTTTATAAAATATTTATAGGTTCTAAATCAAAAACAAAATATTGTTAAATTAATTAAGGGTTAAATTAATTTGGAGGATTTATAAACATACAGGGCCATTCCCAGGATTTAGGGGCCCTAAAGCTTCCTTCAGCTTGTAGGCCCACGCCCCTTACTCCAAAAAAATTAAAGACCCGTTAAATTTTTTAAAATGGCAAGGTCACTAGTTTATTCTTTTCCATTAGTTAAGCGCGAAAGAAGCTTGATGAGCTTCAATTTACTGAATAAACGCTCACTTGAGGTCACTGTCACTGGAATTGAAGCAAAACTACGTAATGCAATCACTCTAATTCTAAAGAGTTCCCTAGTCTTATTTCAGAAACTTTGTTTAATAAGTAAAATAGGCAAGAGGTTTCTTTCCAAAACTTGCATTAAGAGTTTATTTTATGTGAAGCAATTCAAGTTCATTTCTAAAATAAGATTTGATCATGTGATCAAATCTTATTCTGCAAAAGTCAAGATAAGCATATAGATATGATTTAAACAAAAGCTCTTGCAGACCAGGATTTAGGGCTGTCCATTCAAAAAAATACGCTTGAAAAATTACCCCCCTTCCTACAAAAAAAAAAAAAAAAAAAGTTCAACAGAAAAAAAATAAAACATCTTTTAAATAGAATAATTTACAACTAAAACAAAAAAGACATCAAAAGTTTACTTTATAGAA